GCTGCACCCCCCCCCCCCCCGAACTCATGAATGTGAGACCCACCCTTCTTGTGACATAGGGCAGGCAAGAAGACAGGTAGTTCATGTGCTGTTGCCACCGGCTGAGCCCTGCTCAAAGGGCAGGGTGGTCTCACAGTGGAGACATCCCTTTTGCAGACAACTTTCCTCTCAGCCCAGACCAGCAGCTTCAGCTACTTCTCTGTCTTTGTCTCTGGTCCATGCTTTTGGAGGGCAGCTTAAGCAGTTGGAAAGCTTAATTGATAAACCACAGGAGACATTTTCAGTTGATGATTGAGACTAGTGCTTGGTGGCTACAGATGATACAGTGGGCCATTTGATGGTCAATGAGGTCCTTTGGGCCAGACGACCTGTCCAGTGCAAGTATTCTTAGACCTCTCCTCAGACAGGCTCATCTTTCTTGGCCTCCTGCCTCTTTACAACTGCCAGACCAAGTTGCCTTCCTCCCCTTGGTCTTTGTTACTTTTAGCATTTTGGGCATCTACTTTTCATTTCTTTGGGGCATGTTATTTGTTGTGTTTATTTACTCTTACTGTTCTTTCTTGCTTAGTCTTCTTTTTTTTTGTTTTGTTTTGTTTTGGTCTTTTTGAGACAGGATCTCCCTGTAGCCCCAGCTGGCCTGGAACTCACTATGTAGACCAGGCTGTCCTTGAACTCACAGAGATCTTCCCGCCTTTTCCTCCCAAGTGCTGGGACTACAGGCATGCGCCACCACACCTGGCTGGTTAGTCTTCATTTTAAAGTGATTTTTATTTCTATTTTTTTCTTTATTTGTGTTTTCTTTTTTTATATTTATTTACTATATCTTATGTATGTGTGTGTGTATTGCTTGTATGTAGGTAGGTGCACCCATGTTGTGCAATGCCTGCAGAGTGTTTTCATTTTTAAATTTCAGTCTGATTTATGATGTTTCTTTGTCGTGATACCTTTTAATCTCATTTTGAAATAACATACTGGGGGCTGGAGAAATGGTTCAGTGGTTAAGAGCACTGGCTGCTCTTGCAGAGGACCTGAGTTCGAGTCCCAGCACCCACATGGCAGCTAACAACTGTCTATATCCAGTTTCAGGAAATCTGATGCCCTCTTCTGACCGCTACAGGCATTGATTGCATGCCACAGGTACACTTACATACATGTAAGCAACATACACACACATGCAAAATAAAAAGTCTTTAAAAAAAGAACTAGCATATTGAAGGTTTTTTAAAATATTTTATTTATTATTTTATGTGTATGAGTGTATTGCTTGCATGTATGTGAGTGCACCCGTGTTGTGCAATGCCCTGGAGGTCAGAAGAGGGCTTCGGATTCCCCGGAACTGGAGTTAAGGATGGTTTGTAGCCACCATGTGGGTGCTAGGAATAGAACCCGGGTCCTCTGCAAGAGCAGTCGGTGCTCCTAACCCCTGAGCCATCTTTCCAGCCCCTGGAAGTTTTTAATGCCCTTTTCTCTTATCCCTAAGAATGAAATAGTCTCTCATTTTGGAATCCTCTGTGTGTGTGTGTGCATGTGCATGTGAGTACACACATGTATATTTAATTTTGTGTGAGTTTGGTTTTCTAGGCTTTCCAAGATGGCTTGGTTTGGATGGGTGATGTCACAGAGCATTTTATGTGATATTCAGAAAAATGGTGCCCTGCTTTCTTGGCCTGCTTTGTTTGGCCTTTCTCATTCCTGTGCCCTGCCTGTTACTCCTCCCTGGATGGAGTTAACCATTCATTCCTTCTGTTTTCTTCTCTGCAAGCCTGTCTTGGGAAGGAAGGAGAGCCCTTGCTGGTGGCTTTTGAGAACATAAGGTCTGAGTGCACCTGCCTCTCTGGTTGTTTTAATGGCAGGGCTCTGCTTAGTTCCTGCCAGAGAAGGCAGAGCCCCTCTTGGTTGCTGGTGTGCTGTCAGTGTGCTCCTGTGTCAGGTCAGTGAGGTTGTTTGCCTCTGCCTCTTGTGTTTTGGGGGTCATCATCTAGTTTTGTGTGAATATTATCCCTGGGTGTCTTGGTTTGTTATCTGCTCTGTGTTTTTATGGTGGGGCTTGGGAAAATGCAAAGCCATGCTGCCACTGAAGCTGCCATCTTCCCAGAATCCTCTCATGCTATCCCTGTTTGGTAGTGCCAGAATAAACTTTTTTTAAAAAAATTAACTATTATTTTTATTTTATGTGTATGAGTGTTATGCCTGCATGTAAGTGAGTGCACCTGTGTCATGCAATGCCCACAGAGGACAGAAGAGGCTATTGGATCCCTGGACCTGGAATTACTGACAGTTGTGACAGTTGTGAGCTGCGATGTGGGTGCTGGGATTTGAACCCAGGTCTTCTGTAAGAACAGTCAGTGTTCTTAACCGCTGAGCCATCTCTCCAGCCCTCAGAATGAACATTTTATAAATTAAATAATGTTCTGGCTTAAATCTTGCTAATTTTCCTAAACTCTTTAATTATGGAACTGATATCTAGATCACTCTTTAATCACTTAATGTCTTCCAAATCATATTAATAGGCTAATTGAAGCTTTTATAACTTAGCAATTGAAATGAAATTTTAAATGAGTAGTTGATCTTCTCCTGTCCTACCTGTTTCTAAAACCTTTCTACCTTGCTATGCCAAAGGGCAAAGGAACACTGTAGATTAAATGGTTTCAAACCCCACACTTTTTTCTTTGGACAGAAAAGTTCTCAGTAGTTTTCTTGAGTGCAGACTGTTGGTAGCAACCCCAGAGCTGCAGACAGTAGGCACACAGCAAGGCGCAGGCCCAGCCGAGAATACCACCAAGAAGAACCAGGTACCAGGAGTTCTTAGCCCAGGCAGGGCATTCACACACTTAGTCCCCATAGCCTTACACAGAATGTGGAGGCATGCTGAGAACACTAATGCCTATGTAGAAGACCAGACGGAAGCTGCAAGTGTGTAAAGGGTTGCTGTGGTGACTTTGGATGTATAAGAGCTGGGCATGGTGGCACATGCCTGTAGTCCCAGCACTTGGGAGGCAGAGGCAGGCGGATCTCTGTGAGTTCAAGGCCAGCTGGGG